TGATCACCAGTGTTTTGAACTGTGCATCTGAAAGTTTTGCTATTTCTTCATCACTTAGAGTTATGGGCTCTGGGGCTTTGAGATCTTCCTGAGCCATTTTTGGTCTGTTCGTGCCCATTAAGTATGAGGAGCGGAGCCTTAGGTGTTTACCAGGGCAGGGCCACCCACGTTGCTAGGTTGTGAAGCTGTATGTGGGGGCAGGGTCAGAGAGGGACAATAGTGGTCCCCTCTCCTGCCTCCCGCCCCTGGGTAAGGAGTGGAGCCTTAGGTGTTACCCAGGGCAGGGCCACTCAGGTCGCTGGGTTGTGACATTGTGTGTGGGGGTGGGGTCAGAGTGGGGAAATGGCAGGCCCCTCTGTTGCCTCCTGCCACTGGGGCCTGCTTGGTCCCATCTCACTGCTTACTCCTTCGCCGGTCTATCTGCGCAGGAATTCTCGACCACAGTCAACCCACCACCCTGCACCCTCGCTGGGTCGCCGGTCACTCACTGGGTTGCTCACTGGGTCCGCCCGTTGCAACCCCATGCCTGGGATCCACACGCCTGAGTCCATCTGACCGAGTTTTCCTGTGCAACATGGCTCCGCCAGCTGCTGGCTTCACTCCCCTTACGGGTCAGGCTGAAGAATTTGTTGTTATCAGGCTTCCGAAAAGTTCAATTTTCTGTGTTCTGACTGTGTGTTTCTGTTGCTAATATTTTGTTGTCTCTAAACCTGGTTGTGTGAGAAAGCACAGCATCTCCACCTATGCCTCCATCTTGGCAGAAGTCCCCCCATGACTTTTTTTTTAATTGATTTTAGATTGAGAGAGGAAAGGGGAGAGAGACAGAGACATTGATTTTGTTGTTCCACTTCTTGATGTATTCATTGGTTGACTCCTGTGTGTGGCCTTACAGGGGATCAAACCCACAACCTTGGTGCATCAGCACAACACTCTTACCAACTGAGCGACCTGGGCAGGGCATGACTTATTTCATAACTTGCAGTTGGTACTTCTTAATCCCCTTCGATTTTCCCACTCACCCTCCCACCACATACCCACGGCTTTCTTTTTAATGCCCATAAGAAGGGACCTTGGAAGGTAGTTTGCTTTTGCTTCGCAATGTCACGATGACAGCACTTTCATTCCCTCCCCTCAGGGCTTTGTTAACTTTTCAGTTCTCCTTATAATGCAGTCCTCAGGGCCCTTAATGGCCTTGACATTCCACAGAACAACATGCTGGCCCACTATGTTAATGACATCATGCTCCTTGCTCATAAACAGGAAGTAGTAAAAGCACCAAGTTTGCCAGAGAGTGGGAGATAAGTTACATGAAAATTCACGGTCTCACTGCACTGGGAACATTTTTAGGCGTTCTGTGGCTTGGGGCACGCCAGGACAGGTCATCTCACCTCACACATCCCACCACTTAAAAACAGGCACATTTGGTGGGCCTCTGAATTTTGGAGGCAGAATATACACACTCAGAACTGTCGTACTGCTCCAACCCTTTACGGGGTGACCTGGAAGGCTGCCAGTTGTGAGCACTGCCCAGAGCAAGAAGGTGCCGTACAGCAGGTTCAAACTGTAAAACAGGTGATGCCGCCACTTTGGATCATGTGATCCTGCACATTCAAGGTTGTTGGAGGAATCCATCAGGAATAAAGATTCTGGAGGATGTCTCTGAAAGCTCAGATTGAAGGGTTGCAGTGATAACCCCCAGTTCTGGAGTAAGGCCATTGTCCATTTGAACAAAAAGGTCCTGATGTGTCACTGGACACAGTAGTGCCTGAGCATCTGACCACTGGATGCCAGGTGGCTATACATGTTAAGCTAGATGTCATTCGACAGGCATAGCAGCAATCCAATATGATGGAAGTGGTATATTCAGGGCCGGGCTCAAAGAGTCCAGAGGGGTGAGTAAATCCAATGAACCAGCAGCTCAGACTCCCAGGGCACCTAAATCTGTTAATCTGACACCTCTCCTTTAACCTGTACCTATAGCCTCATGGAGGGTTCCCTGCAACCAACTGATAAAGAAGGGAAGGAATTAAACCCATTTCACAGATAGGTCGATGAGATATTTTGGCATCAACTGGAATGGACCACTCTACTATGGCCCCAGTTGGGGGCAGCCATGAAGGATAGTGGTAAATCCTCCCAAAGGACAGAACTGTGAGCAGCACACTTTGTCATCCCCTTTGCATAGACAAAGGGATGGGCTGAGGTTCAGGTGTGCACTAATTCCTGGTAAGTGGCAAATGATGTGGCTAGTTGATCAAGGGCATAGAGACAGCAAAATTGGAATTTTGGAGATAAGCAGGTCTGGGTAAGGACATGTGGATGAAGCTACAGGAGTGCGCAAAAAGCATGCAGATCTTTGTGTCCCAACATTAATGCTCACCAGAGACCACGTACCACAGGAAAAAGCTCTCCAGCCTGATGGTCAGATGTCCTGTCCTACGGATGTCAACCAACCTCTAAACTTAGCCACTCTATTGTTTTGCAAAAGACCCGTAAGAGTGGCCATGGTACCAATGAATGGTCCCAACAACCTGGTCTCCCTCTCACTGAGGCTGATCTAGCAACTGCCAACAAAGAGCTAACCAGCCAGCAGCAGGCAGCAGTTTAGTGCCATTGGTCAAGGGAGAGCGGGCAGCCACCTCACGACAGGTCACTTATATCCACCCCCTTCCACATTGGAGAAGGCAATGATTCATCCTTATTGGAACTTACATTTCTTACCCATAGTGCTCCTATAAGCATCACCATCCAAACGCTTAAAAAACATTCAATCTATTACCTAGCGCCAAGACCCATTTTACGGCAAAGGATGTATGGCTACAGGAGAATGAGCTTCACTGGTCTTGAGGCAGGAGATAGTCGGGAAGGAGGAAACTCTAGAGGCGCCTCAGGGCTAAGACAAAGGACATTGATTCAAGACAGAGACCCTGTTCTAAGACTGGTTGCCCCTCTCCTTTCTGGAAAAGCACTGAATGACGGTGAATCATGACTGCTCCTTCGCAGAAGATGCTGCGCAGAAGATGCTGGCCTGCTTCATTATAACAGCATCATAATAAATTAACATTGTAGGACCCCCCCATCCTGGTGGCCAGTCAAGGAAAATTATGAGAGACCACATGAGCAGTAGCTTTAAAATAATATAACTACTTGCACATGCACAATAAAAGCCCGCCAAAACTAGCCAGCAAACATCTGCCGTATAAGAATAGAATCTCTCTAGCCACTGAGGGTCAGTCTCTGCTTGGAGTGGGCCTGCTCCCATGTTCTGTGGAGTGTACTATCCCTAATAAATCTACTCTCTCTCTTTCTGCTGTAAACTCTCTGTGTGATCAATTCTCTCAGTTCAATTGACTGTTTGTGATCACTAAGAACCTGGTTACCTATGCCCACCTGCGACAGTCTTATCATATATGCCCATCACCCAGCAGCAGGCTGAGAACAATGGTATGGAATGACTTCATTTCCACAAGTTTTAATCTCCTCTGCAAAATGAGGATTATAAACAGTGTATGGAAGGGGAGAGAACACATGGCCAAGAGGAGGGAACATGAAGGTAAATGAAAAACCAAGGCTCACAGACACTGGTGACTTGCTGAAGACCACACAGCTAGTAAATGACAGAAGCAGGACTAGAACTTGCCCACAGGATGGAAACTGACTACCGGAAGAGGTGCTTTGGAAATTGCCTTGCCCAGGTAATGGCAGAGGTAGCAAAGGTTTCATTTCACCCAGAGACCCCATAGAGTCCCTGGCTCACTGGCTTTATCATTACAGGAAAATCACTAAAGTAAAAAAAGAGCTACTGATATCTGTAGCTAGTTCTACAAAGAAGGCTATATTCTTGCAGGAGAACACAAGACCCCTTGAAAAGGCCTTGAAGCAAAAATCCCTACCAGGTACTTCCTGGTATGATTCCTGAAATGCCTCACAGATTCCTTCTGACTCATCTGGCCAGTCTGCCTGGAATGTCAAAACTCCACAAGAAAGACCATATTTTGCCACGTATAATGTTCACTTTTTTGCTCAAATTTTTTAGGGAAAAATAAGGACGTGCATTATATATGGATAGTAGTAATTCCATACCTATATAAATGTTTTTTAGTCTTTTATTTATGCTTGTGCATTAAAAGTATAACCCTAGAAAGCAATAACAATATCCATATGAAAATAATACCTGGAATATGATAATTGGTTTTGTTTCTAAAGATAAATTAAAAATTAAAAACAAAAGATTTTTTTCCTGAAAGTTTGGGCTAAAAATGTGGGTGTGCATTGTACACAGCAAAGTATTGTAAATAACTTTCTGCATTAAAGTTATCTCTGCCTCCACATCTCTTTTTAGGTTTTCAGAAGGTGAATGGTTCTCAGGATGCTTCCCTCAAAGCTGCAAGCTGAGAAAATGGCCATCTAGAAGAGATCTTAACTAAAGATGATAACTGTGTGGACTAAACCAAGATTTGAGGGGCTCTGGAAGGTGTCTGCAGGGATTCTCCAGCCCAAGTCCTGTTCTGGTAGCCATGAAAAATCATCAGTCATGTGAGAATTTGAACTGGTTATAGGACAGAATAAACTCTTAATATGGATTTAAAATAATTTCAAAAAAACAGTATATGGTACTTCACAAAATTATTGTGGGATTGGAAGGATCATATACATAGAGCACTCTGTACAGGTCCTGGCATGCAGCAAGTGCTCAATAAATGGTAGGTGTTATTATTAACCCAATTGTGAAAAGCCTCTGGGCCCCAAGAGGAACTGGTTGTTGGTCTTCACTAAATCCAGCAGGACCCTGGATCCCACTGTAGTGTGACCTACTCTGGATGTTCAAAAGTCCCCTTTGAATTACATTTTTCTGCCAGCAGGGAGAACAGAGGGGTTGTTAGGAGAGATGGAGGAGAAAAGGAAACTCTGCAGAGGGTAGGAAATGGAAACTCAGACAGTGATTGGCCATCAAAGGGTGGGGGGGGAGGGGCGGGGCACAATTGGAATGTGATTATAAAAAGACAGCCTGCAGGCTGAGAGAGCAGCTGCTGCATCTCACTGCTGCTTGCATCCACCAGCAGGCTCCAGGCAGGAAGGTCGGGAAGATTCCTTCTCTTCTCTCCTCCAAGGTAAACCCAGAAATGATGAGGTATGGGTGTCAAGCAATCACCCTTTGCCATGCTACCTACCTGTGAGCCTCATGTCCAGAAAGCCAGGATGCCCATTCCTCAGGGAGACCACTTTTAATATCCCAGTCTAAGCCTGGTCTGAGGGGAGGGCTGGGACTTTTAGGGGGTTGAGGTGCAAAACCCCAAGAAGCTTTAGACTTCAGGTTACAGATACCATGTCAGCATCTATGGCCTTAACTGTCATTTCACTTTTAGGGGCTTTAGTTCCCCACCTGCAAAATGATAATCAAGCTACCTGACCTGCTGAAGGACTGCATGGTTTCTGAAACCCCTTGGTTGCAGGATCTAATGTGACACTGAGTTTGTCTTGAAGGATAAATGGAGTAATCTGGAATGGTTGTTAAAAGTGTGGGTTTGAGCATTAGTGGGTTGCAGGTTTAAATCTTGAATCTGCCACTTCTTGGCTGAGGAGACTTGGGAATATTAAACTCTCTGAGCTTCAGTTTCCTTGTCTATAACACATGGTTGAGAACAGCAGGACCTCAAGGTACTTCGTGCAGTTGTTATGGGTATAAATGACCTTGTGCCATAAAATGCTGAGTAAGTACTCGATCCTGAGGGTGGTGGAGGGTATTGTTAGTTTTTAATTTAAGAAAATTGCATCGAGCTGACCAAAATCACATTAGAGGTGAGTGTGGGGGCACATGCATTTTCCTACTCTGTGTTGTATGGAAAGAACATAGGTTTTGAATTCTGACAGTCTTGAGTGTGTGTCTTGGCTGCACAATTTACTGTGTGACCTTAGACAAGCTCCTTAACCCCTCGGTGCTTTCTTTCTATAAAAGGAAGTTGATGTGAAGACAATATTTGATGCCTGTAAACATTCAATGCATTGGATCAACAACCATTTTTAAAGAAAATTCCATGTGACAGGTACTGTTCCAAGTGCTAGGGTCATAGTGGTGAATAGTTTAAAAATCACAGTCACCCTCTAAAAATAGGCTCTATTAATACCCCCATCTTAGGAATAAGTAAATCGAGGCCCAGAGAAGCCCCCCCCTCCCTTATCCTACCCTGAGGTCACACAGGCAGTGACAGCAAAGTCCGACAAAGTCAACAACAGAAACCACAGTAAGGTTACTAGCTGATGTCATTCAGCCCGGGCCACGTGCCAGGCACCTTACCGGAAGGATTCCTCCCCCGATTCTCACGACCACCGGCTGAGGCGGGAACATCATCGCCGACGTGGCCGTGGGTAAATGGAATCCCCTGTGCAGGGATGCGGAGCACCTCGCTGCTTTTTATGGACTCATCCTCCAATCGGAAGGGAAAACAGCGGAGCGGGTGTGGCTCAAAAAATGGCTCCAGATCACTCCCGTTTTTCCTCCCCCAGGTCCAGCGACAAAGCCAGCGCGTAGCGCCACCATGCGGCAGAAGGTGATATCGCTCTTCTTGTGCTACCTGCTACTCTACACCTGCAGCGGGGTGGAAGCAGGTAAGGATCCTGCAGCAAGGGGACTTTGGTAGAAAGAAGGGGAAAGTTTCAGAACCCCTGGTTTAGAGATTCAGGCGTGCGTGCCTCTGAACGAGAGGAGCTATCACAATGGACAGCACAGGCTTGTCGTAGCCAGAGTCCCAGATTCAAATCTTACTCTGTCAATTTCTCCATTCTACTGACATTTGTTCAATCCCAGTTATGTGCCAGGTACGACGCCTTAGGAGAAAGGTCTCTTCCTTTTTGTGAGGTTCTCCCCAGCTCTTGGGCTGTTCCCCAGCTCTTGGGCAACAGAGTAGGGGACTCTGTTGTCTGCTCCACTCCACTTTGTCCGCTCTCCCAACAAGCACAAGAAAAGACTCCCAGGAGGACAGCAACTCTGGATTCTGGGACGCCCTGACCTACGTAGCAGTTGGAGGAGGTGGGTGTGGAAGGCTAAAGCTCAGGAGGTGGGGCGGCCCAGGTCGTGGGCGCTGCCTCACCACCTCCTCTTTCATCAGGGCTCCTGGCCATGGGTCTGCCCGCTCTGGGCTTCGGCGCCGCTGGCATCGCTGCCAACTCGTGGGCAGCCTCGCTGATGAGCTGGTCGGCCGTGGCGAATGGGGGCGGTGTGCCCGCAGGAGGGCTGGTGGCCACGCTGCAGAGTTTGGGTGAGTCGGGGCCCCCGGGACAGAGACACCAGTGCCACATGGCCCCCCTCTTTACTGTTCTGAGTCCTTTCCACAGGCCAACTCAGCTCTCTGAGGAGGGTATTCTTATTAACCCCACCACGCAGTGGATGAATTGAGGCACCAATTGATTCAATAATTTACTTTCCCAGTTGGCTTGCACTAAAGCCAGGATTCAAACCCAGTCAGTCTGATTCTTTGCGTTTAGCCTGGTGCCTCACTGATACTTTGACCAAGTCACAGCAAGCCTGTTTTCTCGTCTGTTAACCAGGATAATCATCCTCAATTTCACATTTATGAATCTGTGCAATCTCAGATACCCAGAGTAGCAAAAACCCAGAGTGACAGGACAACCCAATTCAATGTCAGACCAACCCTGGTCTCAACACCATGAAGGGAATAGATATAGAGTTCAGAATGATCCTTCTAAAAAAATGTACATTATATCTATCTCTATGTATCTCTCTTTCTCGCTGTCCCTCTCCCCTCCACTGTTTTCTTTGTCTTTTTCTTTCTCCCTCTTTCTCTCTGAGGACTCCAAAATCGTAGAGAAAAACCACCCCTGACAAACTGTCTCTCTGCCTTTCTGAAGCCTCCATCTTCTTTCAATTCTGGACGGTAAAGCCCAAGGAACCAGACTAAAAGAACAGAGCCCTTTTCAGAGGGGACAGAGGGGAAGACACAGGCTAGGTCATTCCCCAGCAGTGGGAAGTAAGGGGTGTGGGCCAGGCTGGGAGCAGCCTTGTGTTATACGATTGTTGTTCCCCCTTACCTGTGAATCCCCCCAGCACCCACAGAGATGTCTCCACAAAGGTAGCTGTTATTAGCATCATTAGTGACACCATGTGTTCACTGCAGAAGTGAAGAGAATGAGTTGTTATTTTGTCTTTTGCATCTCTGAAACACAGCTCTGTTTCGAGGTGGCAAGTTGAGGGAAGGGGGTGATGGGATTCACTTTGCGGGAGTCCCCTCCCCTCCCCAGCCCTCTGTTTCTCCACCTGAGAACGGAGAGGTTGGACTGGAGCAATGGTTTCCAGATTTTGGGATTCCCAGGACTGATGTCTGGGCTACAGGGTGCCAGACTGCACTTGCTTTACAGGGGCTGGTGGTGGCAGTACCCTCATGGCCAAGATTGGTGGGGTTCTAGGCTACACAGCCTACAAGTATCGAGAGAACAAGAAGTCAAAGGAAGAGGAGTAAGAAGCTCCCAAGACACCCATCCCTGCATCTTTCTTTCCATTACAGTCCAGATTTCTCTGTTACACTCGTGGGTGAGAGAGGTGAACAAGAAAATAAACTTCTCTCAAAAAACACTTTTCCTGTGAGTTGTCCTTGCTATGAGAAGCCCAGCAAGATCCTACTCTGGTTTACTTCATCCACACACCCCACCCTCACTTCCCCTGAAGCCAACCACAGCTCCTTGAATACAACCAGCTGATTTTTGTCCCTGGGCCTTGGCATGTTCTGTCCTTTCTGCCTAGAATGTCCTTTTGAAGCTCATAACTGGCTCAGATACTCCGCCCTCTGGGACTCTTCCTTAGCGCAGCTTCCTGCTGTCCCTGTCACACTAGGAAGGCTCAGGCTGCATTCCACAGTGGCACTGGGGAAGAAGAGCTCAGTCTGTTCTCAGTGAGAGAAGCTTCCAGCTACTTCTCTGATTAGGCAGAAACATAGACACAAGATCTCCATTCTCTGAAGAAGCACCAGAGTCGCCTCCCTCTGATGGAGAAGAGAAGGCCAGGCTTTTGGCTTGGGCAGAGTATGTAACAGCGGTTTTCAGAGGGCTCAGCAAGGCCTTCCTTCCCTCGGAGAACTCTGGGATCGGAGAGACAATTTGCATTGGGAGCATATGCCTTCTGAGTGGGAAGGGAAGGCCAGCCAAAGCCCTTGGGGAGATATGAAGTTTGGGAGGCCCGTCCAGGTGAAGCGGAGTGCCAGAACCTAGGCAGGCTGAGGTCAAAGAGACCCTAGAAATCAAATGTCAATAAAGGTAGGGCTGCTCCATCACTGGCAGAAAGAGAGACTCATGCTGTGGTCTGGTCTATGAGTGGACACCAGCCTCAGTGCCTGCCCATCTGAGGAGATCTGCACCCATGGGAAATGGCCATGTGTGACCCATAAAACCTTGTCACAAAAAGGCCAAGGCAGCTGTCCTCCCTTATAATCCAGAAGTTCTTCCATCACAAATGTGTATGGATGGCCCTGACCAGTGTGGCTCAGTTAATTGGGTGTCGTCCCACAAAGTGAAACGTTGTAGGTTGGATTCCCAGTCAGCACATGGGCCTGGGTTGCTGGTTTGGTCCCAGGTTAAGGCACATGTGAGAGGCAGCCGTCAGATGTTTCTCTCCCTCTCTTTCTCCTCCCCATTCCCTACTCTCTAAAAAAAAAAAGAAAGAAAGAAAATCTTTAAAAAAAAAAGAAAAGAAACACAAATGTGTATGGATGGGTGGGGAAGAGGGCCATCCTGCTTTCTCCTGCCCTCAGGTCCAGTGCCATCTCTGCAGATGGCAACTGGTTGCTTCAGCTGGTTTGCTCCAGGCCCTCAGAGAAGCACTTTGTAGAAAAGGTGCACAGGCGGCACCATCTTGCTGCGCAAATTCTGTCTCCATGACTTGTAACCAAGAACTAAGTTGGGCTGAGTCTCCTAACCTGATACTTACGATACAAACCTGAACAGAGTCCTTCCTGGGTAGGGCCATTCATGGCAGGGTGGGGGAGTGATAGAGTGGACTTCCGTCCTCAGACAGAGGTAGGGTCTCAAGTATCATGCTCTACTGAGGCCTATTAACTGCACCCCTGTTTGTCTATGGGCTTGACACCCCAGAGATGTTAAGTGTATGTCCTTCAGCCCCTTCACAGAGGGCACTGTGTATAAGTTATGTCTTCTCTCTTCCAGTGCCCAGAAGATGCCTGGCACACAGTAGGTGCTCAATGTATCTGGGCAGAATTGAAACTGAGGTTAGTCGCCTCCACTCCCATCTACCTGTCCTTACATGTTCCCCAATCTTCATGGAAAGGAGTACCCAGAATTCTTGTTCTTTCTTTGGGGCTCCTTTGATAATGCCCACTGTCACCACCAGGCAGGCGTAGGGGAGGGGGACCTGTAACCCCTTTAACACTGTGGTCCAAGTAAACACAGGCCCTTACCTTTCACTCAATATTCTCTAGCACAGAAGAGTTTGGAAATGAGGCAATGGAGAATAGTAGTTAGGGAAGTTCCTTTGGAGTTCTACAGACTTTGGTTCAATTCTTGCCCCCACAAGTTTCTTCCCCTCTCTGTGACTCAGTTTCCTCCTCTGTAAACTGAGAATGATAATAACACCTACCTCATGGGGATTTTGTTATGAAATCAGATGAATTAATGAACAGAGAGCATCTAGCATGATGCCCAGCACATAGTGAGCACTTTGTAAATGTCAGTGATTATTATGATTAGGAACTTGCATAAAGCAAAGAGGAAACAGCCAAATGCCAACCAGGAACTAGATCACCTAACTTTGGAGTCAGGGTTTATTCTCTGGGGCTCACAGACACTGTTCTGCTTTCCTCCCAAGGGTGAGCACCCTCCACTTACTCCCTTGGTGGCCTACTCACTTGAATAGCGTCAAGGCCAAAGAGAGATGGACAGCTGTGCCCTGGATTGTAGATCTGAGGCCTCAGCAGTTTTCAGGCTAAATGGCATTGGAGTGACTCGTCTTTAAGGGGAGATTCCACTGACCACAAGGTCCCTTTGGACACGTGCAAGATAGCTCCTTGCCTTCTTTATTTTGCAGGCATTTACTGGGCACTTGGCCTGTGCCAGGCACGGTGCCAAATGCTGAGGACATAACAGTGGAAGAGACCCTTTTTTAAAAATTTTTTATTTCTTTTTTTTATTTTTAGAGAGAGGGGAAGGGAAGGAGAAAGAGAGGGAAAGAAACATCAATGTGTGGTTGCCTCTCACATGACCCCCACTGGGGACCTGGCCTGCAACCCAGGCATGTGCCCTGACTGGAAATCGAACCGTGACCCTTTGGTTCACAGCCCGAGCTCAATCCACTGAGCTACACCAGCCAGGACAGAGACCCATTTCTTACCTACTTGGAGCCCACACTGCACAAACTGGGAGCTCCCAAAAGTATCCATGACCCCATTTCTCCCTCCCTGCCACCACGTCCTCATCCCTATTTCCTTTTGCCTGCCCTGGACCTTGTCAGCCTTCACAAAGCACAATCACCTTGTCTGCAAAGTAGGCAGAATGACGAACACAGAACAGAATTCACTGGTGCAACAAGTCAGGAGATGCTAATGCACTTTTAGACTCTTCCCTGGCAACGGCCTTCAGAAAAACGCATAGCTGAGCCCTGGCCCAGCTCCAGGGTGGGATGCCTCAGGCAGGTTACTTGTCCTCCCTGACTTCCAGCTTCCTCATTTTGTAAGAACCGATAGGGTTGAATATCATATTCTCCAGGACACTTCCTACTCTGACATTGCTGAGCACGAAACACATGCTTCTGAATCCCCCTGACCCTGTCAGATCCGGGCCTCTGAGAGTGAATTTTAATTCTGAAGCTGACAAAAGCCATTTTTTTTTGTTTGTTTTTAGAGAGAGGGGAAGGGAAGGAGAAAGAGAGGGGTAGAAACATCAGTGTGTGTTTGCTTCTCACATGCCTCCCCCCACCCCGCCCCCGCTGGGGACCTGGCCTGCAACCCAGGCATGTGCCCTGACTGGGGATCAAACCAGTGACCCTTTGATTTGCAGGCCTGTACTCAATCCACTGAGCTATGCCAGCGAGGGCTGACAAAAGCCATCTTGCTGCCAACTTTGGTACTAAGGTGGATGACAGTGCTGAGAAATGCCATGTTTGGTCACGAATGGGAGTGACAAGAAACTAGCAGGGCAGTTCCTCACTCTGAGGTCACACTCAAAGACAAGTCTGACAATAGTTCCCGTCCGTGTGGCTGACCTGATGGAAAACAATGCTGAGGTCCTCCGTCCATGTCATTTCTCCCTGGACCTCAGTGTCCCAGACTGTAAAATGGAGGAGGGGAGGAGTTGGAATCTCATCTAGACCTAGAATACCTTTCCTAAGTGCTCACATTAAGCTGTCACACTCTTTAATAAGGTCCCTCCATCTGGGGATTTCTTTTATTCTTTAAGATCCTCCCTAGACCCTTGAAAGTCAGCTCACTCCTGGCCCTGGCAGACCTCCCACAGTTCCATGGTGCTATGTGCTGGTATGACCACCAGGTGACAGTGCAATCCCATCCTGAAATCCTCAGCTTGCTCCGTCCTTCAGCAGCTCCACAATTACCAACAGCCCTCCCTGGGCCAGGCCCCATCAGGGATATTGGAGACTGAAATGAACCCAACCCTGCCCGTCTGCAGCAGGAGCTCCTGAAGAGCACGACAGTGGTCGATCCCGAGGAACCCTGCAGGGCCTGCCCTCTCCTCTCTCTGGGATCTCCAAACTCCTGAGCTTGGCCTTTCGGACCCTTTGTAAGAAGGTCTCACCTCCAGGGCCACAGCCTGAGCTTCTAGACCTGAGCCACAGGGATTAAAAGAAAACGAGAGAAGCACTTCACACACACGCTTCACTTGGCTGATCCGAAGAGGTTATGCTGGGAGCAGAGCATCCCTGGGCCCAGCCTTGAAGGTGGGACCATTTGAATGCCTTCCTAATTCCCATTTGAATGCCTGGTCAACAGGCACTGGAGGAAGCTGAAGCAAAGGAGGCCTGTGGCTTCCTGTGAAGAACTGAAGAACCACTTCCTTTCAGCAGATGGCTGTGGGGGATGGGTGAAGATTAGGAAGCATGGGCTTCCTGGCCCAGGGAAAAAGGAAGAGGACCCCAAGAAGGCCCCATGAATGAGGCCCCATGAAGAGGCCCAGAGCACCTTCTAGTCCTCTTCCCTTGGGGGTCTCCATGGAGCAGAGCGCAGACAGGCAGGGTCACACCCCTCTCATGTGGTGTGAAGCCACAGAAAGGAGAGTCAAGTTAGGGTCAGGCCCATTTGTATAAGGCCGGTAAAGAAACAGAGCCTTTGGTTACTCCAGGACGCAAGCCCGAGCTCCTAGCCCCAAGTACCAATCCACCCTCAGAACCCAGCCCCAGAGACCCAGCCCCAACTTCCCAGCTCCAAGCACCAGCTCCTAGTGGGGTTTCCAGTGCCCAGACAGAGGCTGGCAGGCCCCAATGGCTCTTTCACTGCATGCAGGAGTGGCCCTGTAGGAGAACTTGTCCCAGAATGTATTTACTGGACTCTTTCCCTGTAACCAGCACTAAGGGAAATGCCAGCCCAACCATGATGAATAATCACAAACCCCAAACTGGTACAATTTTACTGCTTTTGTTCTATTTGCACATACATGCTTGTCCAGGATGGCACCCAGCCCCCACTCACCCATACCCCCCCATTGGATGGAGCACCAGACCTCCCCAACAGGGAGAGGAGCAGGTCAAGGCCAGGGAGGCCTCTAGAAATCAGCCCTAGGCAGAGAGGCAGGGGCTTGACTTGGGGCTACCACCCCTGAGCCTTACTGCACGACTTTGTCTGGGCCTCTACCTCGCCTCTGTCTGGCCAGTGGACAGCCCTTCCCTGCCTCCTTCAAGGGGTGGTTGTAAGGAGGACAGAGCACCCATCTGCCAGGAGCACAGTGTGTTTCAGTGGCTCCAGGTGCCAATGTGAGGAAGAGGCAAAGGGTCTTCACTCAGCCACAGTTTCTCACCCATTCTCTTGGAACCCATCACCTCAAGCCCATTACTCCCTCAATCTTCCCCACTTCAGGCAAAGGCACCTTCTGGCATTCAGGTACCCAGGCCAGACATTTCCCCAAAGGCTTTCCCCCCGTGACTCTCCAATGATGGCTCCTACTTCACTCTTTTTCCATTCAAATGTCACCTCTTCAGAGAAGCCCTCCCTGACTGCTCACTTTAGGCTTCTTTGTTCCTCTCTGTCTCAGTGGTTCCCAAATTTATGTGCACCTTGAAGTTACCTGGAGGCTTCAAAATGTACCACGGCTTCAGAAACCTGTGTCTCACCCAGAGAGATTGTGATTTAATTGGTCTGGGGTGCAGCTTGAACTATGAAATTAAAAAAAAAAAACCTCTACGTGACTCTAACGTGCAGACAGACAAGTGTGGGAACCACTACCCTAGCATATCACCCTGTTTTAATTTTCTATTACAGGCCAGTAAAGAAATGAAGGTTGGTTACTCCAAGAAGCTGGGCCAGGTACCCAGCCCCAAGCACCCAGACCCACCGTGTTACATATGTTAACTCATTTAATTCTTACAACAATCTTTTTCTGGTAATTAAAAAAAATGTATTGATTTTGAGAGAGGAGGAATTTGTTGTACTTATTTATGCATTCATTGGTTGATTTTTGTATGTGCCCTGACCCAGGATAGAACCTACCACCTTGGTGTATCAGGATAAAGTCCCAACTAGCTGAGCTACCCAGCCAACACTTCTTGGGTGTTCCTAAGATCCTCATTTTACAGATGAAGAGATCAAGGCAGAGAGAGGCTGAATAACTTGCCTAAGGCAAACAGCTAGCAATTGATGGCCAGGATTTGAACCCAGATAGTCTCTCTAGAATGATGTCTGGCAACTAGAGGGACTCTATAAATAATTGTCCGATAAAGGAATGACTTAATTTTAATCTCTGTCTGCCTCACCCACCTCCCACATTCAATCCAGCAACCAGCCAGCCAGTAGATTCTATCTTCTAATTAATTTTTGAGTCTGTTCATGACTGTCTACCCACATGGCCCCCCTCTCCTCATCTAATTTCTTCATCTAGTTTGCCACCCTCAGGCTGAAGGGCACCTACAAGATCCTCCGAACAGATCTCCCTGTGTCCACTCCTGCCCTGTGTCCACGGTCTATTCTCCACAAGTGGCACCTCCAACCAACACTGCTTAAAGTCTCCCTGACCCCCCTCCCCACGTGGCTGCCATCACACTTAGAATAAAATTTTACTTGCTTACTCTGGCCTTCAAGGCTCGAGTAACCTACTCAGACCTCCAGAGCCTTATTTTACCTTGCTTCCCCTCCCCCAACTCTTTTCCAGCTATACTGACTGGTCTCTTTTTCCTTCCCAGGACTCTCCAAGTGCCTGCCAATCTCAATGCCTCTCCACAAGCTCTTCCTTCTGGCTGGAACACTCTGGTTGCTTTAGGAGTCAGCTCGAATCTCACTTCTCCAGAAACCTGAGCCCCCAGTCTAAATGAAAACACACCCTTGCTCTGGCTGGGTGGCTCAATTGGCTACAGCATTGTCCCCATACCCAAGGTTATAGGTTCCATCCCCTGCATCAGGGCACATACAAGAATCAACCGACGAATGCATAAGTAAGTGGGACAACAAATCAATATCTCTCTCTCAAATCAATAAAAATAAATTAATTAATGCAACACTCCGTTATTCCAGCAGCCGGTACCTTATGTTCCAAGAATTGATCACGATTATAGTAGATGCATGATTAGTGTAAGCATTTGTTACTGTTAGACTTCCTCACTAGACTCACTCAGGGCTCACCATGATTTATCGACAGCACCCAGCACAGCACCTGGCACAAAGGAGGCCTCTGATAACTTTGGATAAGTGGGTACACAGATAGATAGTGGGTGGATGAGGAGCAACTGACTTAATACATACATTTAAAATTAGGAATCTATTCTCCCTGCATGTATTTCTCGGGTCAGTTATATGTGTAATTCACAGGGTAGTCGTTTATCACCCTTTCAGAGTCCCCACCCTCTGGTTCCCACTTTGGCTTTTCCCAGACAAGACCACTGGGCGGGGCGTCCAAGGGCGTCCAGGTTCCTAACAACGCGGAGGGAGGCGTGCCCGAGTCAGCTTCGCTTCCTGATTGGCCGGCGCTGACGGCAGCTATACTTGTTGTCACTGCGGTTGGAGTAGACTCCGTGGGAGTAGAAGGCGGGGAACGCCTGGAGGCTGTGGTGCAGCAGCGCCAGCTTCAGAGCGTTGGAGGCTCCCAGGGGCACGTTCACGTACCCTGCGGGGCAAGAATAGGCGCTAGTTGCAAGGCTCGCCCGGTTCTGCTGGGAGATGATGGGACGGTCTCTGCTGCTGGACGGATCCCCGCTGCGGGTGGGGCAAAAAAAAATGTAACCAAGCCTGCGGTGCTCACTGGAGCACAGCTATTTCGGGCTTCTGACCTCGGTGAGGAAAGTCCCCGAAACACAGCCCTGCCCAACCCCTCACTCTCCTAGACACGCTCCACCTCTTCCCCACACCCCCGGACTCAGACCCAAAAGAGTTTCAGGATAAGGAATGTGCAGGTCTGGTTTCTACTCCTAGCTCTGCGTGACCCTCAACAAGAGTCATGCCTTCTGGACCTCAGTCTGCCCCGTACTAAATAATGTGGTGTATAAAGTGACCAGCACTGGACTGGCACATACTGGGCGCTCAGTAGATACTAGTTTCTTTCTTTCTGGCCCTGACCCCACCACTGACTTGCTGCGTGGCTTGGAGCAATTTCACTTAACCTCACTTCCCCCGCCCAAGGATGAAAGAATTGTCCTTTCAGCCCCCAAGGTCCTGCCTGCTAAGACTTCTTGAGTTACTGAGTTAGCGATGAGCAGTGACCAAGCCCCACCTCCTGGTGTCCCTCCTCCGAGGTTCTTCTGACAAATGAGCTTCCTCGTCCTCCCTGAGATGGCTCTGATGAGGTTGTGCTTAAAATGGCTGCACTCCCCCAGAGGTTCTGCACAGTCCTAGGGTCTGTAGGGACTTACTTTGAAGGGTGTCTCAGATCACCTTCCTTAATATTCCTACCAAGGGTGGGTCACTCTCCTGATTAAAACCCCTCTGTGTCTCCCTATGGCCTTCAGGCTGCTCAGCAAGAGTCACAGGCTCTCGGGTCAGCCAAGCCCCATCCTCTCTCTCCCAGTCAGGCTCTAGCTGGACTGAGCTGCTTCCAGCTCACTTTCCCCTCCTCCAGGTGTTTGCACAGACAGTCCCCTCCCAGCCCCAACCTCTTTCACCTTACTAGCTCCTCACCTTTGACTGTCATGGGACAAGAGTTAATCCTGACCCTTAAGATGGGTCCCTGCTCATGTGAGGACTTGGGACTCCTCACCCAACCAGTTCAACCACCACCCTTCTTACTTCCTGTCCTCCAGCCACGCTGACCTTTCAACTACTTAGAAATGCAAGGCTCTTTTTTTGCCACTGGGCCTTTGTGCCTGTTGTTCTCTCAGACCTAAATTCTCCTCTCTTCCCTACTTAACTCACACTTGTCCTTCAAACTCGGCTTAGAAATCACTTCCTCGAAGTGGTGGGGGGAAGAGGTTCCTTGACAAGTCTTTCCATAACAAGTACATACTTTGTAGCCACTATTTAACATCTCTCACCCCTCTTAGAATGTAAATTATGGGATAGCAAGGATGCTTGGTCAGTGGATCCTCCAGTGATGGGCACAGGGCCTGGAGCAAAGTAGGTTCTTAATATCTTATTGAATGAGTGAGTGAATCCTTGCCCAGTTCTTGCCAGTCTCTACTTACATACCTCAGAGGTAGGGAGCTTACTACTTGTGAAGGAGTCTATTCCATCTGCCCTTTAGAAGGCTTCCAATTCCTGCCCACCCCCAACCAATGCTCAGGAGATTCCCTGGAACTGAGGCACGAAGTGAGTGAGTACTTTGAGGCCTTAGTGCAGAGCCAGGTTTCACCCACCTGTCCTGAGGGCTCATGCCAGACTCATCTGGCCCTGATAGGGCCCATAGGTGGCAGCACTGACCAGATCCCCCACAGCCTGGATCCACTGTAGGCCTGGGACTTGAGACACCATCATAGCTTATGTTCTTTTTCACCTAGGAGCAACTGATCACCTCTGCTGGGGAGAGGGACACCAGCAACCTAATTTGAGTTGGTGGAGGCCAGGAAGGAAGTGGTGGATTCCTACTGCCTCATTCAACCTCCCTGCTAGCCCTCTGTGGTGGAAGGTGCTGTTCCCGTTTACAAATTCACAAACTAAGGTTTCTGGATGAATCCTATTTACCTGATGTCACACAGTGGGATAGTGGCAAAGAGGCTGAACTTCAAAACCCAACCTCTTTCCTCTGCCTCTCAGCTTGGTGCCGCTTGTCTACCTGCCCTGTTCAGAGCCCATTCTGCCCAAAGCATCACGAGGTCCTGAAGGGATCCATGGCTCCTGCTTCCCACATCTGGATTCCACCCCTACTGGGGCCTCAGCAGCTACACCTGGGCAACAGCTAAGGGCTGGCTGAATACCAGGAGACATCTCTTCCTTCTGCACTTGGTAACTCCCCAAAAGTGCAGAGGGACCCAAACCAAAATTAGGTCATGGCCAAGGAGCTGTCTTATAAACACCAAACTCCTGAGACAGCTTAGCCACTTATTTGTTGTATGACCTTGGCTGGGTTCCTTCCCTTCTTAGGGCTTCAATTTATCATCTGTGAAAGGGGCATATTATCCCTTCCCAGGGCCTCGGTGTGCCAGAATTCGGAAAAGCAGCTGATTCTCTCTTGCCACCTCACCCTTGAAACCTCTCACCTTGGAGAAAAGAGGCCCCCTCCAGGGTCCCTGTGGTGGCAGGACCCCAGCGCGAGCTGCACATAGCCTAGTCTTTGATGGGGGTCACAGATCCTGGGTAGGGTGGGCACTGAGTTGGGGGGCTCAGTTTCCCCAGCTTCAGCCCCTCTCCACCTCCCTCTGTGCTGTGCTCTCATCGCGTCTGTTCCCTCTACTATCTGTGGCCTTTGCAGAGCCATTCCCCAGGGGATTCTGCCTCTCCTGCCTCTTCCTGTCTGTTCTCCCTCCCTTTTCCTCCCACAAATGTTTATCCATGCCTACTCTGTGCGTATATCAATCACCAAGTAAGCTCAGTGCCTGTCCTTGCAAAACTCACAGTCTTGCAGGAAGACAGACAAAGAAACGAAGTTACAATTTATTCACCCATCCCCAATCCTGTGGCCTTCCCTGCCGCTGCCCTCACCGGTACGGGTGCAGCCTGCTCTGCGCACTGCAGTCTGAGCCATTTTGTTAAAACGGAGGTCAGAACATGTCACTCTTGCCCTCCCATGGCTCCCTATCTCAAAGGAAAAGCCAGTGTCCTTGCTGTGACCTGCAAGGCCTGCAGGATCTACCTCATCGCCTCCCACTCTCCCCTCTGAACACGCCATTCCAGCTGCACTGGCTGCCTTGCTGTTTTTCAGCATGCCAAGCGTGCTCCCGCCTCAGGCCTTTGCATTTGCCTTTGGTGCTGCTGGGAATGTCTTCCTCCAGGTATCCATGTGGCCTCCCTCCCTTCACTCAGGCATCTCTGCCTCATCCAGGGCCCTTCCCAGCTGTGCATCTAAATCCTACTCCCTTCTTGCTTTCTGTCCTTTGATCTGCTTTATTTTTTTTTCTTGGCACTAACAAGTGACATATAATTATTTGTCTGTTCCCTGAAGTAGTAGAAATCTCATGAGATCTCCTAAGGTTCCCCACCCCTCAGGAAAAAAGAGACAGAGAGGAATACAAGGAAATCAGAAAAAGAAAAGACAACACTAATCACCTTACTACTATATAATAATCATATTTAAAGCCGCAATAATGAAAACAACTTGATTTGGGTGCAGAAAGAGACAAACAGACCAATGGACTGGAATAGAATTCCAGAAATAGACTCAATTGTACAGATTTTGTATTGGATAGATTTGATAAAGGTGGCATCTCAAAGTGGAGAATAGACTCTCTAATAAAACAGTGTTAGGACAACTAGGTAGCTAACTGGGAGAAAAAACAGACCTGTTTTCCCATTGAGTACCAGAATAAGCTCCAAAAGGAATCAAAGACTGAAGTGTTAAAAAATGAAAATGAAAATAAAAGTTTAAAAAAAAAACAGAAAAGCACTAGAAAAAAAACATGAGATAGTCTATAGTATCATAGTGGGAAAAGTCTAATCATAACTCAAAAGCCAAAAATTCATTTAAAAAGACTGATAAAGTCAACTAACTATATAACAATCAAAAACTTTTGCATTGAAAAACACTATAAATCAAGTCAAAAGACAAATGACAAACCAGAGGAAAACACTTGCAACTCAGATCACAGATAAAGAGTCATTTATAAAGAAATTATTAAAAAGACCTGGAAATTCGCTCTGGCTGGTGTGGCTCAGTGGATTGATCACTGGCCTGTGAACCAAAGAGTCCCAGGTTCGATTCCCAGGCGGGGCACATGCCTGGGTTGCAGGCAGGTCCCCAGTAGGGGGTGTGCAAGAGGCAAACACACATTGATGTTTCTCTCCCTCTTTCTCCCTCTCTTCCCCTCTCTCTGGAAATGAATAAATAAAATCTTAAAAAAGAAAAAAGAC